AAGGTGCTCTGCAGCAGGGACGCAGCTCCTTTCTGCTGGTTTTGGCCTCCTGTCGCTGAGCTGACACCCCAAGGCCGCTCTGCGGGCCGGGGCGAGACAGGGACAGTCCTTGTGTCCCTGTGACACTGCCCCGGGGCACACGGAGTGTGTGTCGACCCTCTCCACAGACCAGGAGGGAGTTGTGATGAGCGGCTCTTGCTGCATATAAACATCTGCACAGCCGATGTCAACATTAAATGAGAGGAACTCCCTCCGGGGGAGCAGTGGCAGGCTGCAGACTGCGACTTCTGCATCCCGTGCTCTGTCTCACTCTCTGCAGGCACCTTTTGCCAGGCAGATAGGTACTTGGGAAGCTTTACATTAGAAGTAATAGGCTGTTTTTTATCTGCTGCTGCGCACTGCAAGCTGCATCTCCCCGAGATGCCATGTTCAGCTCTGGCGTGAAAACTGGAGGGGAACGACTGACACCAACGGTGTGCAAGGAAGGGGAAGTTAACACTTCTGAACGAATGAAACCTGTAGGATTTCAGACCAAGATCCAAAAGGAAGCCACGGCATGAACGGGGATGCGGAGAGGAAGAGAAGCACGAGCTGTGTTTTCAGCAGGTCCTGAAAGGTGTCTTTCTGGCTCTTTGCTGGCTCCGTTTCCCTCCAAGCTCACGGGCAGCAGCTTCACCAGCACAGGCTGTTCCATGCAGCCCTGTGCTGCAGCCTGCACAGAAGCCATCGGGATGCAGAGGAGGGAAGAGCTGGGGAGGTGGGAATGGGAATCCTGCTCAACTCCTGCAAGAGAAGGAAGTTGTGTGTCAATTGATTGTGGTAGCAGAGAGGTTTCACTTTCACAAGTTATTTTGTCTCTCCTTGAATACATGTGATTTCCCAGAAAACCCCAGCCCTTCACCCACATCGGCATGCACAGAAATGGGACGTTATTCTGAAGATAGCCCATGTGGTTGTGACAAGGCTCTGAGGCGAGCTGGGAACGCGGCAGAGAGGCGCCGGGCGCTGCAGCGGGGAGGTAGGACGGGGCTCTGGGGCAGGGAGCGGGGAGCTGCGCTGCCGGCTGCCTCGTTGTCCTCCGCTTTGTGTTTAATGCACTTTTGGGGGGATCTGAGCGTCTTGCCTGTCCTCCGCACTGTGTTTGATGCAGTTTTCTGGGGGAACCGGGAGATGTCAGGGGAAAAGAGAAAGGGTTTCAGCACCGGGACAAATGGGAGTCTGCTCCGGAGCGTGGCCGGAGGCAGCAGCTTTTCCCTATGGGTCTGTGCGCGAAGCTCACGGTGCCCGCGGGGAGGCAGCATCGTGGGGCTGTGAGCGGGGCAGGAGGCCGGTGCGGGAGCGGCTGGGAAGGATCCCGCGTCGGGAGAGGAAAGGCCGGGAGAGCCGGGCCTGGCCGCCCGCGGCAGCCTGAGGGCATCTGGAGTGAGTGCAAGTGCCTGAAGGGGGGTGGCACCAGGACGGGCCGGACTGTCCTCAGTGGTGCCAGCGGCCACAGGGCGAAACACGACCAGGTCTGCCCGAGCACGAGGAAAAGCCTCTGGCCGGCGGGTGCCGCAGCGCGGGAGGAGGCTGCCCAGGGGCCTTGGCTCTCCCTCGCTGTCCGCCTGGCCTGATGCCCCCCCGGGCACCGGCTCGCGGGGACGTTGCTGCTGCAGGGTGGACCAGGCCGTCTCCAAAGGCCCTTCCAGCCTCCACCTTTCGGGGACCCTGTCGGTCTGCACGAGCTGAGCTCCCAAATGCATCTCCAGGGTGCTAAGAGATGGGGAGAGGCAGCCCCATGAACGACCGCGCGCTGCCCCCGCTGTCTTTAGGGGTGAAGCTGGAGCAGGTAACGTGGTGGAGGCGCCGGCTGCAGAGGACGGGGCGGTTGTGGGTGCTCCTGGGTGGGAGCCGGCGTTCAGAGCCCTCCATCTCTGCAGGGCTGCTCCAGTTACTGGTTCTGGTTTTGCTCAGTCTTTCCTGTGCTTGTTCAAGGTCAGCACTGCTGTCCATGTAAGCTCTTTATGCACCAATAGCCTAAAGCAGAGGCTCCATGAGGAGTGAAGGACAAAAGCAGGAAAGTTCTGCAAGAAGGGAGGGATTGGCTAAGATGGGAAGTTTGGGGAAAATGATTGAAAATAACTGTTTTCTGTGGCAGATTTTCTAAGGGTCCTCCTTGAGCTTCAGGGAATCCTTACCCGCCACAGAGCCTTGGGAAGTCATTAGAAACATGCAGAAAATGGGCAAGCTTTGTGAAGCTTTGCTAAGTGGTAACTGTGGTTGATTGTGCACATAACCCTTGGACATAAACTGCTGGCCAAGCCCGGGACTCGGATGGGACCCAGCTGCAGCCGGCCTCCTCTGAGGACTTTGCAAAGAAGCAAGGCCAGTCTGAGCCTCGTGGCGGGACGGGAGGGTCTCCTGGGCGCTTTCGGCTGACTGTCCTCCGCACAGTCCATAGCTGAGTGAGCCTTGCCATCAAACCTTGATAAATCGCCGCGTTCTCCTCTCACCTTTCCGTTCCTTAACGATCCATTCCCTCATGAATCTGTCCCCAGGCCTCCAAATGCGGGTGGGTGTTTCTCTGCCTCTCTTCAGCGAGTGCTGATGGAGTTGGCACTGCCTCATGCACGGAGGACAGAGCGTGATCTGTCCCGTTGTGTGATCGGGTACATAATGCTGCACTGGCAGCACCGCTCCCCCAGGCTCTCTTCATCCCCCTGGCCCACGATGACCCTCCAAAACTCTCTCAGCAGCCTCGTGCTCCCATAGCTCCCTCCAGACTCTCCCACCACGACCCTGCATCTGCAATTCCTGCCCTTAGGATCAGCTTCTCCAAACAGCAGCAGGATGCTGGGAAGGCGGCAGTCTGTTCTCAGGTCCCCTGGCTCGCTGGGGAAATCCTGGGGCACAGAGACATCATTGGGACACGCGAGGCCTCGTGTCGGGAGCTAGGCCTGCTCCCCGGCTTGGCAGGGCCTGGCCTCACTTACCTCCTTCATAGTTGGGGATCCAAGGACCCGGCCTAACTGCCTCCTTCATACCCTGTCACCCCTTAGACAGGGGAGCTCTTGGCCGGACGGCCGGGCCCAGAGCGTGGCGGTGAATGGAGCTGGATCCAGCTGGCGCCCGGTCCCGAGCGGTGTTCCCCAGGGTCAGTGCTGGGGCCCGTCCTCTTTAATGTCCTCATCCATGACCTGGATGGGGGGACTGAGGGCACCCTCAGCCAATCTCAGCCCACACCAAGCCGGGGGGAAGAGCAGATCTGCCCGAGGGTAGGAAGGCTCCGCGGAGGGAGCTGCACAGGCTGGATCCATGGGCTGAGGCCACCGTGGGAGGTTCGACACGGCCAAGGGCCGGGCCCTGCTGGGTCACAACAGCCCCGTGCAGCGCCGCAGGCTGGGGCAGAGCGGCTGCAGAGCTGAGGGCAGGAAAGGGCCTGGGGGCGCTGGGCGAGAGCGGCTGAACAGGAGCCAGCAGCGAGCCCGGGTGGCCGAGAAGGCCGAGGGCCTCCTGGCTGGTGTCAGGAACAGCGGAGCCAGCAGGACCAGGGCAGGGATCGTCCCCCTGCACTCGGTGCTGGTGAGGCCGCCCCTCGAACACTGTGTTCACTTGTGGGTCCCCCGCTGCAAGAAGGACATTGAGGCGCTGGAGCGTGTCCAGAGGAGGGCAGCGGAGCTGGGGAAGGGGCTGGAGCACAGAGCTTCCGAGGGGCGGCTGAGGGAGCCGGGGCCATTGAGTGTGGAGAGGAGGAGGCCCAGGGAGACCCTATCGCTCCCTACAACGACCTGGAAGGAGGCTGCAGGGCGACGGGGGTCAGTCTCTTCTCCAGAATAACTGCAGGGAGGACAAGAGGAAACGGCCTCCAGCTGCACCAGGGAGGTTCGGGTTGGACATTAGAAGAATTTCTTCATGGAAAGAGCAGCCAAGCACTGGAACGGGCTGCCCAGGGAAGGGGGAATCCCCGTCCCTGGCGGTGCTCAAGGAACGTGGGGAGGAGGCGCACAGGGACACGGTTTAGCGGGTTATGGTGTTGAAGGGATTGCGGTTGGGCTCAATGAGCTTGAAGGTCTTTCCCAACCATAATTATTCTATGATTCTAAGATTCCGTCTTCTTCCCATAAGAACACAGGCCTGAGACCCAAAACCTCCCATGTTGGCAGCCCCAGAGCAGTGGCAGGAAGTCCAACACTCGAGAGATGGGTCAGATGGAGCTTTGACTTCATGACCTGCCTTGGTCTCCCTGTCTTTGAAGATGCTGCTGCACATAAACCTTATAGTCCTGTCCCGGGTCACTCCGCCAGGGTTTCTTATGCATGCAAAAGAGAAGATGCAAGCAGGAGGCCCACATGTTGTAAATACAAAGCACTTCCTGGGCTGATGTACACGACAGGATGCTGGGTCTGGCTCCTGGGCAAAACGCTAGTCACCCATACACCCATACACGCCCGCGTTTGAGGGTATGCCTGGGTAGTCATCAAGTGTCGAGAAAAGGGTTCCCCGGAATGAATCCTTGATGTTCATGGGCTGCCATGCGCTGACTGCCTGTTTTTCTCCTTTAGGATTTTTAGCTCTTCATCTGGATGTTTCTCTTCTGGAATCCTTCAAGTGCTCCCTCTCTTCAGCTTTACAACCCGGCCTTGTCAGCTGAGCCTGGTGTGTGATGGTCTGTCTTGGTTGAGTTTCCCTTTATCAAATGGAGAGCCAACCATCTGACCAAACGGAGCACCTGCTGCAAGGTGAGATGGATCCCATCTAAAAACCATTAACTGTTTAGTCCGGATATAAAAGGAATGTAAAATACAAGCTGGCATTAAAGGCTCTGCTAGGTCAAAGAATACGGCAACAAGTCCCTAGGGTCAGTAGCTGTGTTGTAAAAGTTCAGTAGGAAAGTGCAGTGGGAAGGAGGAAAGCTAGATACACACAGAACTTTCATGCACTGAATACTTCTCCTCAGTATTCAGCTGAACAGAGAATTATCAGGTCTGCATGACAACAGTCTCTTTTGCTCTTTCTCAGCCATGGAGTCACAGAAAGGCAGCTCGCAGGAGGACAAAAAGGAATGTGCAGCTAACAGTCCACTGTGGCAAAGCTGTGAGAAGCAAGGACTGGATGCAGCATACTGGCTCCCCAACCTCTTGGATATACTGGGGGTTAAGTCCAAGGAAGCTCTGCAACATCTGCAGTATGAGGACTACCTTAAACTGGAATGTAAGGTACGGCGTTCCTGGGAAAAAAAGGCTCTTCTAAAACTCATGGACATTGAAGACAAGAAGAAAACAGGTGAGAATGTGCCGAAGAAGCGCTTGGAGGTGTCAGAAAAGAGACACAAATCAGCTCTGAAGGATTTGAAAGAAATGCAGAAAGAGATCCACCACACCAAGGAACTGAAAAAAGAGGAGGAGCTGCAGAAAGTCTTGGACATTCCCCAGGACTTCTTGGACCCACCTGAGAACAGAATGGTGAAGGTGGTGGAAAAGATGCAAAAGCAGCTGGAGCAGCAGGAGAAATCGGCGTGCAGGAGTGCGACCATCTCTGATGAGGACGTCTTGAGGCGGGCATCAGGGGGCCTGGCCCTGCAGGGCATTTACAGAACCAACTGCCTGGAGGACATGCTGGCCAAGCGAGAGCAGCTCATCAAGATTCCCGAGGGATTCCAGCTCGCTGGAGCAGAACAAGGGTCGGTGCTTGAGAAGAAGGAGTTTTCATCTGCTGCAGCAGAAGCCACTTTCACCAAGTCCATGGAGCAGCTGGGGTTCAGTATCAGCGCTGCTAGCAAAAGCATGTACTGGAATTTTAAGTTTGAAGCTGCTCTAGATTACAGTAATTCCTCACATTCAGTGGAAAGCCACCAGTCACGCTCTGAGCAGGCGTATTTCTGTAGCACCAAGTACTGCTACGTCCCTGTGGCCTCCTGCTACTTCCAAAGGCACCAGCTCCGCCTCTCGGATGCAGCGCTGCAGGAGTTACGGGACATCGAGCAGCTGCTGAGCATCACTCCGGAAGCAAACCAGCTTGACATGCTGAAAAGCAGGTGTGGGAGCTTCTTCCACAGGTTTGGGTCCCATGTAAACCAGGGCCCCCTGCACTTTGGGGGAATATTCTGGTGGAAAGCATCTGTGGAAGGATTCAGGGCAGAGGAGCGGGAAGACATGAAAAGGCAAGCCTCTCAAGCACTGAACTCCTATGTTGGGGCCAGCTATGAATACTTTGTCTTCAGGGCAGCAGGGGATGTTCATGCTTCACATTCCAGGTCTGAGGCATCATTTAAGGTAAAAGATAGAAAACAGGAGAAGAAATCAATTCTGCTAACTGAACTCCTATGTTGGGGCCAGCTATCAATACTTTGTCTTCAGTGCAGCAGGGGATGTTTGTGCTTCACAATCCAGTTCTGAGGCATCATTTAAGGTAAAAGATAGAAAACAGGAGAAGAAATCAATTCTGCTATTTGTGACGAAAACAGGAGGCCCCTCTGAGGTGGATTCCCTTGCTGAGTGGAAATCTGGGCTAGTAAATAGCAAGGCAACTTGGTGTGTTATTGACCGAGGCTTTCAGCTGATCCCAGTGTGGGATATAGTCCTATGTAACCACAGCAACAATTTTAAATCTGCTCATCAGATGAGCAGCTGCCTGCGGACTGCGTATGAAGCTCTAACTCACCACAGTGTCACCATGTTGTTTGGGGAGGAACTGGTCAGCGCCGTGGAGGAGGCCCGAGACTTCTTAGAGGGAGTGAGGGCCTGGGAGGCCACAGTAGATGAAAAGAAATTGCTCACGTTGATAGAATTCAAACAGAATCTGAATGATAAAACAAAAAACCATAGCATCTGGATCAATAAGTGCCTGTCAGACAAGACATTGCAGCAGTTTTTGGTAAATACCGTTTTGTCTTGCCAGAAGTCATCCTCCGAAAACACCATTTATATCAAATCCCTGTTGAGGTGCCTGCTGCATCCTCATGTGTATTCCGTTAAGGATTTTCCCCAGGCTTCTTTTATTATGCAATGGATCTTTCACACCGAGCATGCCATTCCTGAAACACCCAGTGTTTCTGAGTTTGAAGATCTTGCTGAGACACTGCTGCAAATGAAAGGGCTCATCCAGGAAGCTACCTATGCACCAGAAGCCTCTGCATCAGCTATCCATGAAGCAAAGATAAAAGCCACTCTGACCATAAGCCTATCTGCTCATTCCTTACTCCAGTTTCTCCGAGACAGGAAGCAGAAAGACATGGAACTGTTAGTGCTCTTAGTTACGACCAGCACTGGATACAGAGTGGAAAGCAATACTTTTCAGCACCTCCTTGGACTTCCAGAAATTAATTTCATGATAAAGGAAATGCAAACGGTGCATAAAGAATATCTGAGTCTGAAGGAGCAGGATGTTTACAGAGCTGAAGCCTTCCTTCTGCTGACAGGTCTTACTATAACACCTGACTATAAAGAGCTGTCTCTTGAGCAAAAGTATGACCGTTTAGTTGTCATGAAAGATCAAATGGAAAATTCATGGTCCACAGAGATAAAAAATCTCCTTGAAAAGCACAATGCATGCAAAGACTGGGAGATGTTGGAAAGAAACTTGCATTCCTTTGTCAATGGATGCTTGGATGACACATACGATGATCTGAAAAAACACAGGATAATCAAAGACATGGAAGACACTTTTCAAGAAATAAAACCTTCTAGTCAATCTACATCAAAATCTGGGCAGAAATCTTGCAGTAAATCCAAAATAAATGAAGTAATTGCAAACCAGGAGTTCCTCAACCTACTCAGGCGCCTTGGACTGGAAAGATACTATCCAAGAAAAATGGGGACGGAAGATTTCCACATATTATACAAGACATCCATACATGACAGCCAACCCAGCAAGGACAATGAACTAACATTTTACTTCCTGCAAAAGCTACTAATGGCGGATTATCGGGTGAGATACCTAGTTTGCAAAGAAAAAAGTAACCAAGAGGTAACACATATACCAAAATTCCCAGAAAGTGAGCATGAACGTGCTCACACCTTTGATGATTTTTTCACTGATTTTGCTGAAGTATCCAATGTGTCTGAAACCAGGGAGAGTCACGTGCACCCCATGGACCTCCAGATGGCCATTTTTCATTGCGCTGATGATTTCATGAGACAGTACATTTCAACAAAGCTCGCCTTCTGCCAGCTTGCACTGCCCCTCCTGGTACCAAATCCATGCACCTCCCAGATCGAGTTCCCTCTCTGGGCCCTCAGCCAGATTAAAAAGAGCTGGAAAGGGATGGAAATAATGGGAAGGCACACCACGGTCAAGAATCTCAAAACCAAACTGATTTACCAGGCAGAGACGCCCATTGTGTCCTTCATACGGATTGGGAGCTCTCCCTCCCCTTCCAAGTCGCAGATCCTGAATGCCCTGCTGAGTGAACACAAACATGACACCTTCTTCCATCGACACTGCAAGGGCAGCACCAAAGAGTGCCTGCTGATGAAAGGCGTTGTGGAGATCTCCTGGTACTGTCCCAGAGGCAGCGCTGATGACACCTTTGACTGCTGTGTGGCCTTCTGTAATTTGCGTGGCGACGCGAGAGACCATGAACCACAACTGCAGTTTTTGCAGGAGGTGTCATCTGTGAATGTGGCTCTCCTACCTGGCTCTGATCAGAGCGACGAGAAAGGCATGAAAATTCTACGTGACCTGTGGCAGTCTCAAAAGCCTTTGATTTGCCTTTTCACTGAAAAAGAGAATGTTGCATCTGTCCGATCTAGCCAAAAAGTAAGGATAGGCATCAAGAACAGAAATGAAGCAGAGTTAATAGGTGAGCTGACAAAAACGATCAGAGATCTACTAGAAGGGTCAAAAAACCTTTTAAGTCTTGATGCCTGTCAGGACATAGCTCGCCAACATGGATTTATTATTGATGAAGATGCAGAAGAGTGCGTGACAGCCAAAGCAAAGGCAAAGGCCTTGGTGCAACTCTTAAAAAAGGAGCAATTGTCTGAGATCAAATCACAGCTATTGCCTCTTCAAGGAAAACTGTGGTGCACATGGTGTAAAAAGGACAAAGAGCTCAGCCGCTTGCAGGAAAAGAGGAACAAAAGCATAGAACATCATCGGAGCCAGATTGAGTCAGAGAAGTCAGCAATACGAAGAAAGCAATTAGACAGAGCATTCCCCCTCAATGAGCTGATGAAATCGTTCCTTGGCTTTCTCCAGTCACAGTCAGAAGAAACCAAGAAATACTTCCTGCAATGGATGAAGGTCTTTATGGATGACCTGTCCTCTGACTGCATTGATGAACTTAGGAAAGAATATCATAAGTTATGGTATCAAATCCTGGAAATAAAGAAGAGCAGTGAAAAAGACAGTCTGACAACTTTATTGAAGAACAGGTTAGAAGCCCTCTCAAGTGAAATCAATGATTCATCCATTGGTCTTGAACATATTTTGAGAGAGGTAGGGCAGATTTATGAAGCTCTAGGACCAATGAACTCAAAAGACAAGTGTTTCTTCAAACTACCTGAAATTGCTGCCGATCTGATGATTTCAGGATATCCAGTTGAACTGATGGATGGCGATGCTTCCTACGTACCATTAGAATGGGTCGGGGCAATCTTTGACAGATTAGCTGAGATGCTAGGGGACAAGAGAGTGTATGTCCTTTCGGTGCTTGGCATCCAGAGCACGGGGAAGTCA